GCCGCCATCTTGGCTGTCAGTTAATTTGCATATCTCCCTGATTAGCCAATGGGAAGGGTAGCGGTCGTACGCTAATTACCATGTTTCTCTTTTATTAGTGTAGATTATTTGCATAACTAATTCAATTCATTGTACTGATGGCGTGGTCATAATAATCTGGCTGGTCATAATAATCTGGCCACTCAGTGTAGAGAAAAGTAAATTACCCTCCCACCTCGGTCTCTCTTCCTGGAGGCAGCCACTACTACTAGTTTCTTGTCTATCTTTCCAGAAATATTCTATGTGCCATGTTCTATTTTTAGCAATTAAAATGCTAGTATAAAAAGTGTTACAGAAGGACCTTAAAATTGAACAGTTATGATAATCAAGAAGTCCTGACTCTGTTTTAGCAACTTCATCTTAACCAGAATGACAGCAACCTATTGAATGTCCATTATGTACCAGGCACTAATTGGTACTTTGTATACAATCCTGCAAAAGAGGAATATTATTATCTTCATTTTATAGATGAAAAAACTAAGGTTCACAGAAGTTAGGTGACTTACCTAAGTTATTTTATAAATTAGATGACTTAACTACCTGGCAAATAGCAGGACCAGGATTCAAATCTAGGTCGGCACTCAAATCCTAGCCACTATTATACACACTGATAAACTCTTACCTGAGGCGCCATCTCCATTTCCATTGCTTGTGTTACCAAGAGCACAGCAATTGGAACTCCATTAATTGTTTTACTTCCCACTTCTTTAATGAAAAAGTTAGCTTGGGAAAGGAGCGCAGATTAGGATACACCGAAAAGGTTAGCTTGGAGACGAGGTGCAATTTAGGATGTTAGGATATAGCCAGACTCTGGAAGTTTAGGAGGAAAAGCGTGGCACACATATGAAAGACTTTTCAAAGAAAACTATAGCTTCATCTGCTGGTCATACAAGTGCATCTGAAATTACTGTCAAACTCAGAACCTCCAGCAGAGTGCGCTAGAACTATACAGCAGACTACATTCAAAGACGTTACCAACAAGTACCAGCAGAGGACACTGCAAACAATTCCACCTCAGATGCAAACTGCCTGAGTTGTAAAAGCAGACAGACTACCTTTCCATGCAAAGGAAGGCAATGTTCCAGTTTCTTATCAAGCTTCCAGGAATCCATCTGGACATCTGCCTCTCCAAGAAAAGTGTTTCTACCAAAACGACCATGATGCCAAACTGAGAACTGCAATGTCCTTTGGGCCAGGAGAGATTCTGGGATCTCATACTGTGAAAAACAAGGAGAAAACCAAGATAATTAGTGATAATTCCTCAGCAAAGATTACTCCAAAATCTGAGCAACCATACCCAAAGTCCATAGTATCAAACATCACATTACTCTAGTCCAGTGATGGCGAACCTTTTGAGCTCGGCGTGTCAGCATTTTGAAAAACCCTAACTTAACTCTGGTGCCGTGTCACATATAGAAATTTTTTGATATTTGAAACCATAGTAAAACAAAGATTTATATTTTTGATATTTATTTTATATATTTAAATGCCATTTAACAAAGAAAAATCAACCAAAAAATGAGTTCGCGTGTCACCTCTGACACGCATGTCATAGGTTTGCCATCACTGCTCTAGTCCCTGAGCACTATGAGTTTCCTCACTCAAAGCCTCCACTTACCCCATTTGACAAAAAACTACCATATTCCATGGGAGAACCTGGAAATTAATTTTCCTTGAGTGGGTAAGAGAATACTGGAACATTAAAAAAAATTGTCCAGAGACTCCTGATCCCAAATGATGCTATTTAAATTTTACTTTACAATTACAGATTATATTCAACATTTGATATCACTTTACGGTATATGCATAGTGGTTAGATAATCATAAGTTTTACAAAGTGCCCCCCCAACATTTCAAGTACCCACCTGGCACCACACATAAGTTATTACAATATTGTTCACTAAAATCTCTGCTGTACCTTACATCCCCATGCCTACTTTGTAATTACCAATTAGTACTTCTTTTTATTGTTGTTAATCCTCACCTGAGGATATTTTTCCCATTGATTTTTAGAGAGAGTGGAAGGGAGGAGGCGAAACAAAGAGAGAAACATCCATGTGAGAGAGACACATTGATTGTCTCCTGCATGTGCCCCAATTGGGGATTGAGCCTGCAACTGAGGTTTGTGCCCTTGATCAGAATGGATCCTGTGACCCTTCAGTCCATGGGCTGATGCTTTATCCACTGAGTCAAACCGGCTAGGGCCCAACTAGTACTTCTTAATCCCTTCACCTTTTTTACCCAGCTCCCCTAGACCCCCCTCCTTTCTGGCACCCATCACTGTGTTCTCTGTACCTGTAAGTCTGTTTCTATTTTGTTTATTTTCTTCTTCTTCTTTTTAACTCTAGTTGAATCCCATGTATTTCCCCCACTTGAATAATCTACCCAATCTCCCTGATCCTATTCTTGACTGTCTTCTCTCACTAGCACCTAGGTCCTGATCCTGCTCCAGGTAATTCTACTATGGCTGAAAGAGCACTGGATTTGGAATCAGGCATCCAGCCTTCTAACTTTCTGTGTGACTTTACAAACATGGTTTAACCACTCTGGACTTCAGTTCCTTCATATGTAAAATAGAATTATGGTAATGCCTCCCTTGTAGGATTGTGGGACTAGTACTGGGCTAAACTGGTGCTTCATTCAGTTTGGGCTCTTTGAATGAGGCTGCTGGGGAAACTGAGGTCACTCAAGGGCTCTTAACCTGCTACAAATTCGGGTTTCTTTGGATATATTCCCAGAAGTGGGATCACTGGGTCAGAAGGCAGTTCCATTTTTAATTTTTTGAAGAAATTGTATACTGTTTTCCACAGTGCCTGTACCATTCTGCATTCCTACCAGCAGTTCCCCAGGAGCTCCTTTTCTCCACATCCTCACTAGCACTTGTTAATTTATTGATGAGCCATCTGACAGGCATGAGGTGAAATCTCAGTGTGGTTTCAATTTGCATATCTTTGATGATTAGTGATGTGGAGCATCTTTTCATGTATATTGGCAATCTGTATGTCCTCTTTGGAAAAGTGTCTATGCAGGTCCTTTGCCCACTTTTATTTTTTAATTTTTTTCTTTATTGATTAAGGTATTACATGTGTCCTTATCCACTCATTCTCCTCACACCCCTACTCATGCCCCCACCCCCCTGGTGTCTGTGTCCGTTGGTTAGGCTTATATACATGCATACAAATCCTTTGGTTGATCTCTTCCCCTTACCCCCACCCTCCCCTACCTTCC